GAACTTTTTACTTTTCCTGCTCTGTTCTCTGAGTTCTTGTGACCTTTCACCTGCCTGGGCCCAGTATGAGCTGGCTGAGCAGGTTGAACCCGCGGGGCCCCGGGAGTCGATCCGGGCGCAGCGCTGCCCCCTCCAGCCCCTGCACCGCTGACCCAGAGACCTGCCTCATGGTGTTTGAGAACCACTGGAGACAGGTGAGCTGGAAAAACATTTCCTGTTGAATTGTGAGCAACATGTTGTGCAATTAGGGCTGCACAGTGGTTCGCACCATTGCTTAGCAGCTAGAAGGTCCCCGGTTCGCATCCCAGTAAGGACGCCCGGGATCTTTCTGTGTGGAGTTTGCATGTTCTCCCTGTGCAGCGTGGGTTCTCTCTGGGTTCTCCGGCCACCCCCCAAAGTCCAAAGACAGGCTGAGATTAATTGATGATTCTAAATTGTCCATGGTTGTCAATGTGAGTGTGGTTGCTTGTCTGGTTCTAAGTGTAGCCCTGTGATAGACGGGTGACTTGTCCAGGGTGTCCCCTGCCTTCACCCTGAGTCAGCTGGGATAGTTTCAGCCTCCCGTGACCCTACAGAGGATTAAGCGGTGCATAGATGATGGATGGATGGATGTTGTGCAATAGAGTTAATTGCAAAACTCAATTCACCACTGAGGCCAATGTTATACTTCACGCATCTGCAAGTATGAAAGGGTTCATGTGATGTAAATTCCATCATCTCCCCAAGTTTGCAAGAGGCAAAATTTATGAATGCAGATGTCGTTCTAAAACAAGAATAACAACACTTCCGTTTTGTCTGCAGCTGTCTTTCTGTGTGCATGCATGGGAGTAAGGCTGAACACAGCAACATAGTTTTGCTGAACAATGTTATCCAGATTATGTAGCGAAGGATAATCCATAATGTCCAAAAACAAGTTTAGCATCAGACAGGGGGAGTAAACACACCACTTGACAGAAAACATAGTTTTAAACAAGTTAGAGGGATAGCTTCCCTCCCTGCTACAAAAATACACAAAATAAAATGAAAACTCAACATCAGCTTAATCTCATCAGACATGGTTCTATTCAACCTGAATATTAATCAAACATTAGTGTCTCACATGCAAATGCCCATTAAATCACCAAAAAATGGTAAAAAACTGAAAAACAATTGCATGATTTACTGCATGATTCACGGTCCTGATAGGAAAAAACAAATACTCCTTAGTTAAGTAAAACAATGCTTTAAGATAATTTCAATCCCCAAAATAATAAGTGCTGTTTAGAGGAGATCAAATGAGTTGTTTTGAGAGGTATAGATGTATTTTTGAAGGACAGAGAAGGGTAGAAGAGGAGAGGAGGAAGGATAATGTAAACCAAATTGAGGCAAGTGAACAGGAGAACCCTGGATATTTGTATGAAAAAAAAAAATCTATAAATAAAAAGAGGAGACTTCTCATAACTGGGGTCCAGAGAAGACTCAGATTGCAGCCACTGTCCAAACAAGCAAAAGAGGTAGTTGAATGATCTGTGTCCAGTCCTTCTCCTGGCATCAACTCATAGTCAGTAGTTCCTTATTGCCAAAAAAAAATCTGTAAATCCAACTGAATAAAACTTCAAAATATCTCTTTTTTCAGTTCTCACCACTAACACTGTTCTCCTCCATGCTGCCTTTGTTAGATTTTTTTCAGCTCACAGGTTTACCTGATTTATCTCCTCCCATCCTACCTTCCTTTCCTGTCCAGCTAAAAAGGGCCATTCTGTACACTTTTCTTTCCCTTTACTGCGGCAACTACGTATTTGAATGTACTGACTGTAGGTGTGTGTGACAGTAGTAGGACGTGCTTTGATCACCTGTGTCTGCTTTTGATTATTAGAAATTTTAAGCGTATTTTTCATAATTTGTGTACCATCTTGCTTTTTGCATTATTCAACTATTTTGTCGTGAAGCTGTTTCGATGCATTCCAACACTGCTGCAAATTCAGAGAGCAACATTTTTTCTGTAACTTTTATGAGCGAGCAAAGAAGTCAAACATTATAATACCACAAGAGCTGTAGTTAACCAAAGAAAATATTGCTTGACTGAAATTGTACCTACTCTTTAACCAATTGATTGTTTGTGGGAAAAATAAAATCTGCACATTATTTTTTAACTTAATTAGTGATTAGCTAAATCGATCACAGTGCGCCGAATGCACTTCACCTGCAAGCCTTGTTAGACTAAATGAATTATTAAAAAAAATAAAAAACTGGTATTTGCAACATATTAAATAATTGTACTGCAGTTATTTTGTACTGAAATGAGAACTGGCTCATACACATGTGGACAAAATTGTTGGTACCACTCGGTTAATGAAAGAAAAACCCACAATGG